TATATGCTAGAGCTAATTTGAAAGAATCTTATCAAATTTAATACTAATATTTAAAAAAAAAAAAAAAACATATATGGATAAGTTAGAGAAATTGATTAATGAGGAGTCAAATCTAAAGTTTAATCAGTCAAGATTGACAAGATCTTGTCTAAAAATTGTTAGTGTACCTACACCTAGTTGTTGTAATCTCACAATCTGTCAAATATTCCTCACACACTTAGGACAAAAGCATACCCAAAAGTGGGTTTATATATTGAGATGATTTTTTTATGTAGTCATCAATCGTTTAATATATTGACACATGTTTAACGTGTTTTTGTTGTGGGACACGTGTCAATACACTATTTATAAATAACTGTAGATGACTCCGTAACAAAACTGTACATATGTAAATAACATATCTTTTCAAACTTAGTTTCAAGGTAACAATGTAATTTAAGGAATTTTATGTAAAATTAGATAGTAGTTCATGAGAAGTTTTCCTTCGTCCTAAAAATAGGTGACTAGTATAACACATTATATTATACCGAGTGTTTGTTAAAAAAATTTACTTAAATTTTAAGATTAATGAGAAAAAATATTTTAAAATTTAAATACCTTTTATAGAAAATATATATTATTATATATATTTTAGAATAACTACTTTAAACACGAATATAATAATTGATAAATAAATTTACTTTTTAATTAATATTAATAAATAATTTTATTACTGATATAGAAATAAATATAATGTATTTGTTTTATACATAAAATAAGAACGTCAAATCGAAACTCGTGAAGAGATGATCAATTTGAATTATATTACACATGCAAAATTGATAAAAAATACAAAATGTTATTAACTTTTAAAATACATTTACAATGTTCTATATAATAGAAAATGATATTAAAATACAATTAGTACATCTAAAATGGCCGTAAATAATCAACATATTTCTGGATAATTTATACCTAATTGTTTTTGGATTGAAAGTAAATTAAAATTTATCTAAACCAAATAATGAAACATGAAATTTTGTCACATAGAATCTCGAAGTCTGCCACTCATGCTAAGCACATTCGGAAATTATATATAAACCTATAAGTGCTCAGAACCACGTAGTCAATCGCGCTAGTTCAATCAAAATCATCATTTTTCGCTTTTGAAACTTATTATAATAGAGATTTCGACCCCAAATACAAATTTTAATTTCGGTGAACACCTTCGAACAGTTCTCAGCCGTCCAAAACCCGTTTGTTACATTTTCCACATTATAGCTTCAATATTCTTTTTTCTGCAGAATTAATATCAACATAGTCAAAAGTGACAATAATGTAATAACAGACATGCTGAAAATTCTGTCCATGAACTTTATCAGTTTATGAACTTGTCATATTCTTTTGGAATGCACATATAAAAGTAGGGTTCATTTATCAAGATTGATTCTTTAATTCTTTAATTAAAATTATACATAATTTGCAATGTATGAGGATATGCATAAATGTTATTATGGGGATGCTCATGTATATTCCCATTTTTCTATTTTTTACCGTTCAAAGCAAGTTTAGAATTTGCTACCTAGTTGCAAAATTTATCTGATCCATGACTTTTTAACCTTGACACAATTAGTGTCTTGGTTTATATAGCCAAATATCAAATACAAAAAATGAAATATAACCACCTTTTATATTTTATAAAAGTATGAATTATAGGCATTTTGTTTGTGCAATGACACAATTACCCTTACTATCTGAAATCGTTTTCAGAAATCTAGAATTTTAGAAATAGTTTCTAGAACACATTAACAATGTCTAAAACCATTTCGGTAATCTGGAATCTCATATTTCTGCTAGAAACGGTTTCTGGTAGTAAAGGTAATTGTGTTATTGCACAAGATAAAATGACTATTATGATATTATCTCATGCTTCCACAAAAAGTAAAACGATAAGGTTTACTAATATTATTACAACTTATGCACTTCTATATTTCATCTGTAATAAACGGGGGCAAAACGGGTGCAGTCTTAAGTACGTGAAGTGCACAATAAGCAGAAAAAGCTCAGATGAAGCCTAAATGAGGTTTCATCCCAAAACTAATTGGTGAAAAAAGAAGAGTAGCCCACTAGACATATAAGTTAGGCATATTTTTCCTGTAGAAACGATGTGTGACAACTCACAAGTGGTATTATATTCTAATACGCCCCTCCACTTAGGGTTGCAATTCACTTAGGGCTGCAAATTGTAGCCCTAAGTGAAGGAGCGTATTAGAATATAATACTACTTGTGAGTGAGCGGCTCGTCCAACGACTCGAGATACACGTTAAATTACTAAAATACACCTTATTATATATATTAGCATAGGTGCTTAATGGTAATTATACCTTGCCACTTAAAAAAAATCGAGCCGAGCTCGAGCATTTTGATTTCGAGTCGAGCTCGAGCTCTTGTAATTTTTTATCGAGTCGAGCTCGAGCAGCTAAAAAAAAACTCAATCATGCTCGATAAGGCCAATGTTCGACTCGACTCGACTCGTTTGCAGCCCTACTCTCACTTGTGAGTCATTCATATGAATCCCAAGTCCAACTGGGCTGGGAAACGAATATGTCATCGCATGGTCTTGCATAGAACCGACTCTGATATCATGTAAGAAGTGAGAAAATATGTGATTTCTCGTATTAACACAGGGCTATGTACATGTATATAATAAGGCATAAGATGGGCCCTATAAACCTAAACATAATACAACAATTATAACTAACATCATCATTTTATGATTTTGACACTCGACTTGTTATACATTGATTAATATCCGGTGTGAATTTATGAAATTTTGTTATATCTATTGAGGCAAAAATCCAATTTTGGTCCGCTAATTTGTTCATTGTCCAAATTTGGTCCGCTAACTTGTTCCTCATCAAAAAAGGTTCATTATGTTACACTTTTCATCAGTTTTAGTACGCTAATCACGTGGCCCGGGATTACGAGATGCCAAATCAGTTTTTTATCCTACCACGTCAACATCTTATCCCTTCACGTAGTTCCAATTCCGGTCAACGTCATCTCGTAATCCTGCCAACTGGAGTAGTGTACTAAAACTGATGAAAAATGTAACATAATGGACCATTTCTGATGAGGGACAAGTTAGCGGACCAAAATTAAATTTTTACCTATCTATTGACGTTTCAAAAGATCAAAAAACATATTTTCTTACCCATCGTCCAATTTGGAGATACAATAAAAAGTTATCACATTCCAACAGAAAATCCAAGAAAATATTCTAACAAATAATCTATTTTATTTTGTAGCTAAGAATATTTCAAAGGGAACAACACTACACATATATTAAGTTGGAATCAAACCTCAAAGGATACATATATAATACTAGTGTACATAGTCACATTATAATTATGCAAACCATGCATGTTTTCAATACCTACACCTTGAATAATATTCATTCATCACCATCGCCATGTCACTTTAACAAAAGATTTGTTGTTTTATTATTATATAAAACTAAACAAAACACCCGTTACGTCAACACAGCCTGGAAAAATGAGTTACCTATTAAAGGTAAATACAAGGGAAAATAATTTTACATCCAATGTATCCGAATAAATAAATAAATAAATAAATAAACTTCCGACAACGAACGCGGGTAAATATGATATTCGAAAATAACATAATTGACTAGGATAGAAAAAAAAAGTTACATTTCAACTTATAATTCCGTATATTTAGATAAATTAAATTTTAAATTATGATATGTTGAAGAAAAACCAATAAAAGCACATATATTATTGGGAGATGCTATGGTCCCATTACGGAATTAATTCGTCGGAATTTGTTGCCGTTAGATTAACTACCCAACGGATTGTGTCTTGAGTTCCGTGGTGAAGGGACTCCTTTTTCTTGGACAAGGAAAACGAAATGGAAGGACAAAACGTAAACTAAGAATATGACACCAAAAAGCTTTGGTTGAGCTTGACATTGACTCTCACGATTAGTCCACATCAATGTTTTCTACTCATATATCAAGTGTTTAAGTTCAAAATGTAGTGCATCAAATAGTCATTTTTTCACAATGGTCCAACATACACTTGGATGATCCGAAATATTTACTGCTAGATTGATCGACTACTTTAAAGTTTCTGATACCGTAAAAAATATCACGACGAATTACAAGTTAATAGCATATATGAAGTTCACTTGTCAAACATAGAAAACATGCTTTGAATATTATAATTACGACGAGTATCTTGTACAACCCTACAACCTGCTTGTTTCAATTGTATAAAATTTCTTTTTGTCTATCTATTCAAAACACATGATCAATTGTCACGAAAGAATCATACCACGAGGCTCATTCAATTATGTTCGCCGTGTATACAAGAATTGCGGAAATGATCATGACCGCGACACAATTCAGTAATAATATAAATTACGACCACACATATGCATTGTAGTTATGACCACACGATACAATCATATCGCAACATAATTTTTTACAACAGTATAATTAAGTTTAAAGATTTTCTTTTTTCTTTCCAAATTATGACAACGAGTTATGTGTGCGAATACAGTCTCATTTTCTAATTACGAAACGTTGATTGATTTCGTAAGAAGTGTGTTATATATGTTTTAATTTGAATTCTTTGGAACAGAAATATTATGAAGCCATCAGATAATTTTCTTATGCAACTGTAACTTACATTTGCAATCAAAACGAGTTTTCCTCAAATCTAGAATTTGCTCTTAGACATTATTCCAACCAAATTCATAACATGCACACATAACATATATTCATTCATGCCATAAAAGCCAAGTTATGACATTAATATATATTACACAAAGTTATATATTAAAAAAAAAAGAAAAATAATAAGGCAATAAGTCACAACCTATTTCGAATAATTCGAGAATATCAGATAATCGGTTTAGTTTTTTGAAAAAACCCGAGCCTATCATCACCCAACCGAGTCTTGTAAACCGATTCCTTGTACTCGGACCAAGTGAATTCCTCGTACAAGCTCTCTTCGCCTTCTTCCATTACCGAGGGCAAAGGCGTAATTTTCTCACTCGCCGGTGGGCCCCCAAAGTATATCATTGACAGCCTCGGCTTCAGGCTATTGGCCAGCACTCTGTGCCTCACGCTCCTAAACCTCCCATTAGTCATAACCTACAATTAACATATTTTTTAATTTTTTTGCTTTGGAATTAAAAATAATTAATTATGAAATTAATCACCTGATTAATTATTAATTAATTACCTGCAGGGAATCCCCTACGATGAAGTAGAAGGAGGTGTGATCGGGTGGGACGGCGGCCCACGAGCCGTCCCTGAGGCAGACCTGCAGGCCCGAGGTGTTGGTGGACCTTAATACGGACAGTATTTGCGGGTCGGTGTGGGCCCCGAACCCGATCAAGTCCCGGCCTGTCAGCGCGTGGAGGTCCGGGCAGGGCGGGTAGTAGTTCAGCCTCAGCAGCGAGTCGCTCCGCTCGTCTCGGACGAGTCGACTCAGGGCGTCTTTGTTGGGCCCAATCTGAAGCCCATCGGCTATCAGGTCCAGCACCCGACACGTCATGCGCTTCACCTCTTCTACGTACTCGTTGATAAATCCCCTGCCAAGGGTAAAGACGTAATTTCAATTTTATTAATTTATATTTCACTGAGAAAAATACAAAAAAACACTAACCAAAATGCAGGCTAAAGTATAATATAATTTACCCATTTTTTTTATTTTTTTTTATATTTAGTTTTTTTAAATAAATTGAAAGTTCGGTTATAACGAATTTTATTGTTAATAAAAATTGATTTTATACATTATATTCCAATAATAAATTTAATTAATATTCATTAAAAGAAGGGAAATATTTGGTGGCTTTGTTAGATCATATGATTTGTGGGTAAATATTTGAAACACTGCTTTTACCACAAAGTGTCTGAAATTCCTGGAGTAGGGGCATTTGCGGAATTTTGCAGGAGAAGGTACTCGACCCAGCCCACATCGCCGTTGGGCCCGATTTTCTTGTTACCGTACCCGAGAGGTTTGCGCAGGCCCAAGTTCTCCTTAGCTTCTTGGGGCAGATTGAAAAAGCCCAAGGCCTCGGCTTCGAACCTGTTCAAAAACTCCAGTGAGACGCCATGGTTGACAACCTTGAAGAACCCTAAACCCTTGCAGGCTTCAACTATGGGCTTCTGGCAGTTTTTGTCCGAAAGGTCTACGATTGGGAGGTCTGTTAAAATGTGTGGGTCGGGCTTGCATGTCTCGAATTGGGCCAAGTTTTCGTGTATGGGCTGGGATAAGACCACCATATTGTGGCGATGAGGAGGAGCCTGCGGGGGTAGAAAGTGAGAAGGGTGGAAAAATTGGGGGTGTGTAGATGTAAATTAGGGAAAGTTGAGGTGGTGTTTTGCAGAGTGCATGGAAGAGTTTGTGAGTACGCCTGTGTACTTATAATGTCTGGGCCGCAAGACGTTCAAACGTTGGCGTCGGTGTCCGAAAAAGTAAATGGGGGATAATGTGGGGACCTGATTGGTATTTCCTTGTACTTTTTATGAAACAAAACAATTGATTTTACGTAAGTTATTTATTATGAAACAATATAAATCTCTAACTTTATATCTTTTTTATGAAACAATTTATTTTGTTTATTTTATGAAGAATATATATATAGAAGATACTTTCCACATAGTCAGAGCTGTAAAAACGAAACAAATAACTCGTGAACTCGCTCGATTCGTATGATAAATAAATCAATCTCAATAAATCATCTAATTAACGAGCCAACTCATGATTAAGACTAACAAATAAAAATCTTTAACGAGTCGAGCTGAGATTCAAATATAAAAAATTCAACTCAGTTTCGGTTCGTTTACATCCTTAATTACATGTGGCACATCTCTTTAAATATTCCTTTTTGACTTGTATATATATATATATATATATACTGTGTACTAGTACAACGCCCGTGTATTACACGGGTGCTTGTTAATTTTTTATTTAAAATTTAAAATTAATGAGAAAAAATAGTTGAAAATTTAAAACCTTTTTATAAAAATATATATACTATTATATATTAAGTATGAAACTTTTTATTTGTGCGACTTACCTGTATTATATTATAATAATTTTTATAACTTACAAAATATATCTACATTAAACATAAATATATCAATTGAGAATTTATTTTTCTAATGAATTTTAATAAATATTATTATTATTTTTTATTATAAAGATAAATATAATTTATTTATTTAATATATACAATATGGATGTCAAATCGAACATCATCAAGAGGTGGTTAATTTGATATATTATATATGTAAAACCGATAAGAAATACAAAAGTTATCAACTTTTAAAATACATTTACAATTCAATAGCTAATTGAAGGAAACAAATCAAAAGTCAGGGATATATTAGTCACTTAGTGTCTCGCTATATAAAATTACAAAGAATTAAAGGGTTATATTAGTACAAGTGATATTAAAATACCTAAGTTAACTAAATAATATTTATGGAATGTCATAACCTAGATTATTAATTATTAATATATCAATATTATATGTCCAAACCTAATTACGAAGCATGATTATTTGCCAAGTAGGATTCCGAAGCACCAGAAGCAGCCACGTAGGCTCAGCGCATTCTGGAATTATATATAAGGGGATTTTTTATAGTAAATATAATTTTTGCGTCACTCTTTAAAATGCACTCTACGTGAATATTGATGCATGTTTTAGACAAGAATTTTCCTTTATACAATACCTTTTTTACTTTTATTTTATTCTTATTTTATTTTTAAGAAAAGGATTGTTATTTTTTATTTTTATTTTTTTTGGTACAGGGACCTTCCGTTTTTCGGATCTACAGGGAAACCGACTAATCCGGAATCGAGCCGGGTAGGACCACAAGGGCGGCAAAGCTCTCCCTCAAGAGTTTTTAACACTGCTGCATTCTCAAGACTCGAACACGAGACCACTGGTTAAGCTAGAAGAGACTCAAACCATCTCATCCAAGCGCTCTTGGTTCATTGTGATAAGTTAACATCACTCACTTGTACGTCATCAACTAAAAAACTCAAAAAGCCAAATTATAAGGAATCTCCTATTAATTAGCTTATTTTATACTCCATTTTGTAACTCAAAAAGGGGTCAAGTTTAATATAAAAAAAGGTGGTTTGAGGTGTGGTTTTCATAAAGATTAACATCAAGCATGCTCTTGCAATAGTATACCTATTGCAATAATTAATGACATTTGACATGCATACTTAATTTTTTTCTATGCATGTTGATAAAGCAATAATCAAGGCAATTAAGTCTTAAAAAATATAAAAATAAATAAATAAATAAACACTTTAGGAAGTGGATTTGTGTGGTTTGATATAATTTTTTCCAAAAAATAAAATTGTATTGCCTAAAAAAAGAGATGAAAAAAATTAATAATTTTAGAAAATAAAGTAAGATATATTTGAGATTTTAGATAGATATGAGATTGAAATTATATAATAATTGAAGCTGATGTGATACAATAATAATAAAATTCTGATTGATAAGATTGATAGTTAGATTACGTACAAGAGGATATATGAATAAAAAATTTTATTGAATAATATAAAATAAGATAGTATTATTTTGATTTTTTAATTGTTAGCATGTGATTGTAGAGGAAATAGTGATATATGAGATGAATTGTTATATTTTGTGAAATACTTTGTTAATTTTGTTCCCAATTTCAAGATTTAAACAAAATATAACCCTAAAATAAAATAAAAATGAAATGAAAATGTTAGCACACAAGGGGTTTTGGGGGGGCCATGGCCCCCCATTAGGTGAGTGAGATTGTGAATCTCATATAGTTCAATGACATATGTGACCCCCCTTAGACAAATAATGGATCCAATTAATACAGTTAAAAAAAAAAAAATTAACTCAATTTTCTATTTTGGGTACAAAATTATTTCAGTTTCAATGAATCAAAACATTATAATATATATGTACAATGAATTCATACTATTCAATCTATAAAATTTCCTAAGTGAGTAGAGTTCACTTGTAATTGGTTAATTTCTACTCTTCAAAACCGATAAATTCCGAAAAAAAAAATAATAATCGATTGTTGTCTGATCGAACCAGTGAAAATTGGTCAGAATTAGTAAAGAACAACTTGGTTAAACCGGTCCCTTTTATATTTGAAAAAATATATTATTTTTAATTTAATATATTTAAACATAAACAAAGATTATTAATTATTTAAATGTATTGGATATGTATCAATTAATTTCGCTTTAACATAAACACAAGACAACAATTGTTAATGTACAAGTGTTCTAAATATATATGGATCAGTTTTTAAGCCTATTTGATAATGGATTAGGCCATAAAGTCCGGGACATTTTGAGAGGTCATCCATTATTATTATTTGCATGAATCTGTTTGAAACTTAGCCCAAATATTATTGGACTTTCCCGTAGGCCTCAGCCCAAATATTTTATAGACCTTTAATGAGTTGATCCATCAGCTGTGATAAGCCTAATTAATTATTATTTCCATGAAAAATTTATGCCATTTAGCTTTAAATTTAATTTTATTTTTTATATTTATGAAGTTTTTATTTGACTTCAAATTACTATTTTTTACTGTTTATGAATGATTCATTTTTTATTTATTTTTCATTGATTTTTATATTGCATATTATCTATTTTTTATAGAACCATAATATATGTATATCTTTGTTGTGGCCAACTAATTTTGTTAAAACCCACCACCTAATAAATTTATAACAAACCTACGTTTTAAAAGCAACCAATCAAAAACATTAAAAGCCGTCCTATATATTATAGGGTTTGGCAAACATATAAAATATATATATATAATGGGAAAAAAAAAAATACATTGATTGGCATAAAATATTAATATCATTTTCACAATAATTTGCACAACATTATATTTCACATAATTATTTATATTTTATTAACAAACTAAATAATTACATTTGGACTAATCTACAGATCAATGTGTTAAAAACACCATTTTTTATTAATTTTTATTTTGTAGTTAAACATAAACAATTTTTAAAAGATAACAACATTTAGTTAATTATCTAACAAAATAAATATTTAAACACATTTGTACTAGTTTAAGAAAAAAATACATATTGTTCAACAATGTGTGATACTGTTGTTGATATATTTTACACAAATTAATATACGTACCAACTGATTTGACAGAAGATTAACATATCATACTATATGATTGAAATTATTATCAATCAAAGGTATACTAGCCATTTCAAAACTTATTATTTCGATTATCATTACACACATATGATGATAGGAACATAATTTTCCAATAAAAATACATAAGTAAAATCACAAAAAAAAAAAAA